CCTGCTGTCCAGGAGCTTCCAGTCTCATAGAGGCTCCTAATATGTGCAGAAATAATTTCAAATGAAGCACTAAAGCCAGGCTCTGAATTCCCCTGGGGCAGAAACAGTGTTAATCTATTGCACCATCAGAGCCCAGCACCCAGCATTGTGCCAGACACATAGGAAGTGCTCAATTTCTATCTGGTAAACATAAGATTGAGTAATAGATGCTTTAATGGGGCAGAAAGGGGCCAGAAATTGGACAGTCTGGGAGAGCTATGTTGAGAAGCTCTACAATACATAAGCTGGGTATTGAAGGATGCATAGGAGTTTGCTGGTCGGCTAAGGGACAGTGAGTATTTTGTATATGTGGCTTTGCGTGAGTGTGTGTGAACACCAAGTGTGTGACCTCTGTCCCCACACAAGACTGCCAAGAATGTCTGGAAATCCAATCAGGCAAAATCAGGTAGACACAGGAGCTTGCTGGTGTCCTATAAATGAACTGTGGGGCCCCTGAGCGCTGGCACACTCTGGCGGGGACAGCCCCTTGGAGTCCCGTGGTTGGAGGAGGGGTCAGCACATTCTCATCAGGCAAGCACATGCCCTGTTGACGCTGCCTCTTCACTGTATTATCTGGCACATCCGCAGCGGAAATCTCTCCAAATTCCCTCTTTCCTGCCGGCAGCAGGCGGGCCACCCCCGGGCTCTGGGGCCAGAGAATGGGACCCAACTCTTCGCCCACTTCCTCCTGTTGGCATAGGGCTGGGGGGCTGGGAGGAGCAGCCACGTGGTTGTGAAGTGGGGCTATTGTGGGAGTTTGCAGGTGCCTAAAGCTTTTAGCAGAACCGAGCCCAAGCTGTGGGCACTTGTGGACCCTCCCCAGCCTGAGAGCCCAAGCTGGGAAGGTGCGATTGTGATTCTAGGGGCCCCTGAGCACCCCAACTCTGCTGGGCCTAGACCTCCTGGAGCCAGCATTTACCCAGGTGAGAGGCCCCTCAGCAGACAAGTCAGGGCATCTGGGAGAATCGAAATCCCAGTATAAACATGGCCCGGCTTTCTCATTTTTATTTGAAGATTTGGGGGAGGAGAGAGCTATTTTCGTATGGTAAGAGATATGAAGAGAAATGCAAAATACACATGGATTTCTTAAATACCATAGGAGACTCGAAGGACCTTGGGGGCTTGAAGGGGGCCACTTTGGCCACCGTAACCAACACCCCCAGTTTGATTCCGTTCTTTTCTTCCCATAGGACATACATGTGCCCAGAGCGAAAAGACCCGTGTTAGGAGCCCCCACCCCCGCCTCCCCCCACACACATACACCCCCAGCTGCTCCAAAATCAGCCTTGGGATTTTCTGGTTGTTAAGCGGGTCAGGACCCATCTCTTCTCTTAGGGCTTGTTCCAGGACGTTGATTTCTGTTTGCTCCAAATTAAGATGCTTGTGGGAAAGGAGAGAGGCTCAGAGTCAGGCATCCTGGGTTCAGGTTTTGGTTCCATGTCTTAGGAGCCTGCTGACCTTGGACAAGTGGTTTTGCCTCTCTGTGCCTCAGTTTCCCCACCTCCAAAGAGGGACGAATGATGACAGTGCCCAAGCATAACAGGCTTATGGTGAGGACTAAATGAATGTCAAGTGCTTGGCCCAGAGCTGCACACAGTAGCTGCTTAATCAGCTGTCACCGTTTGTAACTGGGGCTCCAGGGTCCGCACAGAGCAGGGGTCAGGTCTCAGGATCCCCCATCCTGGACAAGCCCCCTTCCCTAGAGCACATGTCCAAGTTCTTTTGGGGCCTGTGCTGAGGTTCGGGCGTGGCAGGATATGGTAGGACAGGCGGAGGGGGTGAGAAAGGCTGCTGGGTGGCCTGTGGGCCCCCTCTGCCAGCAGTCATTAATAGGAAGTCATTATCCAGCACTATGAGGAATTGGGTGTCCTTTGAGTCCTGTCCCCTGACTCCCAGTCCCCCCTCTCACCTCTGCTCACACAGGGGACAGAACAGGAGGGAAACTTTGTTCATGATTTTTCTTGATAGTGTAGATCTGATCATAATTCTTTACATCAAATTTTCAATGGCTCTCATTGTCCCCAAGATAGAGTCCCGGCTCCTTGGCCTGGCTTTAAAGGCCTTTCTCAGTCTGGTCGCTGGAGACCTCTCAGCCTTATTGCCTGCTGCTCCAGACCATTTGTGTCCACAAAGCCACTCATACTTTCTGTGTTTGTCTTGTTCTTTCTCACCCCTAACTCCTCCCAATATTTCTGCCCTGCTGATCTCCTACTCAGCCTCTAAGCCCCAGCTGAAATATCCCTCTGTGACTCCTCAGACCTCTGGCTAAGGTTGTCTCCATCCCTTTAGCTCTTTGTCCAACCCTTTATGGTAGATATTGTCACATGTTCACGGGCTTTGTCTCATCACAGGGTCCATGCCTAGCACAGGGCCGGGCAGAGTAGATCGGTGAGTGTTTGATGAATGTGGCACAGAGGTTGGAGGTGTCTCAGGACCCTCTCCACAGATTAAGCTGAAGGAGGGGGCAGTAATTGTAGGGTTGTGGAAGAGGTCCCTAGGGTGAGCCTACCCCATTCTGGCTATTTCAGCGGCTGCCCAAGCCATGACAGCCCGGCCCTGTGTCTGGGCAGCTTCCTGCCTTTGGAGCCAGGAAGGGTTTTGGGGCAGGGGCAGGATAGAGCAGTGGGAGGAAGAAGCCTCTGGAGTCAGGTGCCTGAGCCCCTAGCCAGCCTGGCCAGGATGGGACCTGCTACCAGGAGAGGAAGAGCTGTTTCCTGGCTGCCCTTGTGAGTGGTGGAAATGACTCAGTCCTGGAAGCAGATCCAGAGAAAATGCTGGGGGCCTGGCCTTTCCTGCTTTCTGGTCACCCAGCCCCGGAACAGGAAGGTGGTCGGGTCTTGGGGTGGGGGGAACACCTGCAGGGGTGGCATCCTGAACTGGTGCATCTGGGTGATCAGTCAGGGTGATGGTGATAGTCACCGAACACAAACAGTGAAGAGAACACAGTTACTGCCATGGTCAGCTTGAAATACAGGTGGGGACCCATTAGGCTGGTCTGCACAGATTAAAGGAAGTACAGCTTGCTCTGTCCAGTGTTCAGCCAGGTGTGAGATAAGATTCTTAGGAAGCTAAAGAGACTTGGACTTTGAATGCTGGGCTCAAGGGTGTAGTGCTTCTTGCAAGAGCCAGTGGGTAGTAATGCAAAGGTTTGGAACATGCAGATGAGGCATTTCCTGGGTGCCTGGCATGAGCTAGGTGCTTGCCATGCATTTTCTCATTATAAGACATTCTACCAATGAGGAAACAGGCCCATAGAGGTTTAGTGACTTGCCTGGGGTCCCACAGCCAGGGAGTGGAAAAGTTGCTTGGGGTGGGAACTGGTTTAACTGACTGATGTCTGTCCCTATGTCCTCCAGCCTGCTCTCCTGGATTCTTCAAGTCCGAGGCATCCGAGAGCCCCTGTTTGGAGTGCCCTGCACACACCCTGCCGTCCCCTGAGGGGGCCACCTACTGTGAATGTGAGGAAGGCTACTTCCGGGCGCCAAAGGACCTGCTGCCGACGCCCTGCACACGTGAGTCTGCAGTGGGTGAGGGAGGACGACTGAGGTGGGCACAGCGTGCTGGTTGACATGTGCAGGGCAACCTGGGTCCGAGCTCTGACCTTTGCCCTCTGTGTAGGCCCGCCCTCTGCCCCAAACTACCTCACAGCTGTGGGCATGGGTGCCAAAGTGGAGCTGCGCTGGACTCCCCCCCAGGACGATGGGGGCCGCAAGGACGTCGTCTACAGGGTCACCTGCGAACAGTGCCTGCCCGAGTCAGGCGAGTGCAGGCCCTGCGAGGCCAGCGTGCGCTACTCTGAGCCACCGGATGTGCTGACCCGCACCAGCGTGACCGTCAGCGACCTGGAGCCTCACATGAACTACACCTTTGCCGTAGAGGCCCGCAATGGCGTCTCAGACCTGGTGGCCAGCCGCAGCTTCCGCACGGCGAGTGTCAGCATCAATCAGACAGGTGAGGGCCCAGTGGTGGTGGATGGCATCCAGGTGGGACTCCAGGAGGAAGGCCACCCAGGCCTGAGCTGTGTTCAGAGAGGCAGCAACCAGTGGTTAAAAGCATAGTCCCTGGAGTCACGTCCAAGCTCTGTCACTATGGGCAAGTTACCTAACCTTTCTGAGCCTCAGTTTCCTCACCTGTAAAATGGGGTAACAGGGCTATTGAGAGGATTTAACAAATTTTTATACGTAAGGCTCTTAGAACAGTGCCTGGTCCATAGAAGGTATATAGCAAGAGTTGGCTGTTATTTTTATGATTTATGCACTCATAAATGCTCTCGGGGCACCTCTAATGTGCCATCCTGGTGGGCCTTGGATTTGGGGTTCTGTGCTCTGGAGCTGGAAGTTACGAATTTCAAGTGGGGGTCTAAAGAGCCTGAGCTATGGATAGGACTGGGTCTGGGGGTACTGACCTCCCACCCCCAGGTGGCTCATCACACCCCTCCTCTACCCCTTGCCCTGCCCAGAACCCCCCAAGGTGAAGCTGGAGGGCCGTAGCACCACCTCGCTGAGCGTGTCCTGGAGCATCCCCCCGCCACAGCAGAGCCGCGTATGGAAGTATGAGGTCACCTACCGCAAGAAGGTAACTCACAGAGGGTCAGGGCTGGCTCAGGCTGGGCTGTGAGCAGAGGACCAGCTGGTCACATAGATGCTCCACATAAAACAGGCATCTGAGGAACTCCATTCTGCAGATGGGGAAACTGAGGTCTGGTCTCTTCTTGAGAGTTATCTGTGTCAGGCCAACACAGCAGAGATTTGTGAGAGAGGAGACACAATGTTCTGGATTTCCCAGACCAGATAGTTGGGTGTAGAGAAAAAGCCAGGTCTTGGGGATCAGGCAGACCCGGGTTTGAGTCCTAAGTCCCACGTTTGCTGGCGTTCGATCTTGAGTGAGTCACTTCACTTCTCTGGGCCTCGGTTTTCTCTTCTGTAAGAAGAACACAGAGTTTGCTAACGTAGGCAAGCTGCCTTGCTAAGCTGGAGTGGCCTCTGGCAGACTGAGCTGATGCCTCTGCCTGCCCTCATTGTCTGCCTCTCCGCCCACCGGCCACCCGCAGGGGGATTCCAACAGCTACAACGTGCGCCGCACTGAGGGCTTCTCTGTCACCCTGGACGACCTCGCTCCAGACACCACGTACCTGGTCCAGGTGCAGGCACTGACGCAGGAGGGCCAGGGTGCTGGCAGCAAGGTGCATGAGTTCCAGACGCTGTGTGAGTTGGGGACTGGGGTGTGGGCCAGGCCAGGGCCCTGAAACAGAGAAGCTAGGACATCCTGGGAGGAGGGAATGGATCGAAGAACTTAGAAACACCCTCTCCTGCTTTGCCAGGGCCTAGGACAGCCCTGCGTGGGTCAGGCCCCAAGCCTGGAGAGGGGGACAAATTGAGGCCTGGGGGACGATGACCAGGGACTCGTGTTCAGGGCAGCGATGTGAGAAGGAAGGACGTTGGCTCTGGCATTGGCAGACCCAGCTCAAATAATTCATCGTGGAAAGAGTCCCTCACACTTGGGGGTGCCTACTGTACTCCTGGGGAGATCCTCTCACTGACCGTCTATGAGATGGGAGTACAGATCCTCATGAGCCATCACAAGTAAAAGCACCTGGCATGAGTCTTGGGGCCCGAAAGTGGGCTTTGGGGACAGGCTGGGGTGTGGCCATGATGTGGGGTGTGGGGGGGCTGCCTTGTCATCAGTTGGTCTCCCCTGACAGCCTCGGAGGGATCCGGCAACCTGGCGGTGATTGGCGGAGTGGCTGTCGGTGTTGTCTTTCTCCTGGTCCTGGTGGGAATTGGCTTCTTCATCCACCGCAGGTTCGTTGGAGTCCATGCTCCGGGCTCCTCAAGGCTTTAGGTGAAACATGGATGGGTGGGAACCTCAGTTTCCTGTCAGGAAAATGGGCTGATGATAGTGATTTAATCTCTGCCTCCCGAGGGCATGAAGATGCAATGAGCTATGAAGCGCTCAGCACAGCTCCTGGCACACCACGGGGATTGGGATGTAACGGGCATTAATTTTGCTCTTGTTTATTAACTGTGTGTCCACACTTCCTTTGGACGTGCAGGCAGGAAGTGCCAGGAAGCGCTAATGAGGAAAGCCCTCATTACGGCCATGACGGGGCACAGATCCCAAGGAGTGAGCCTGCTTGCTCACTTCCTCTTCACCCCGCCCTGGCCTTCCCCGTGCCCTCTGCAATTGAGCAGACCGCTGAGCACGTGGAGCCCCCACTCAGGACTAGAGCAGGGTCAGGAGGCTCCCGGCCAGAGCAGGCTGCTGACCTCCCTGTGTTTGGTTTCCACGGGGTTCTCAGGAGGAAGAGCCTGCGGACCCGCCAGTCCTCCGAGGACGTTTACTTCTCCAAGTCGGGTGAGTTTCAGCCCCCTCCGTGCCTGTCCCTGCTGTCGTCACGTCCTCCCTCCTTCTGTGGTGGAGATGGGGGCAGTCAGGGCACTCCCAGGGCTTCCCGAAGCACCCTGGTCATGTAGCCACCTCCTCTAAGGCAACCCCTCCAAGGGACCCTCCCTGAGCTGTGTGTGACCCAGCCCTTTCTCTTTCCAGAACAACTGAAGCCCCTGAAGACATACGTAGACCCCCACACATATGAGGACCCCAACCAGGCTGTACTCAAGTTCACCACCGAGATCCATCCATCTTGTGTCACACGGCAGAAAGTGATTGGAGCAGGTGAAGTTGGCACACCGACTGAGTAGCCTGGTGCGGGTTGGGAGCGCCTGGTGCCGGGGCTGACTGGGGTTTCCCTCCCCCCTTGCCTGCCTGCAGGAGAGTTTGGGGAGGTGTACAAGGGAACGCTGAAGGCGTCGGGGAAGAAGGAGGTACCTGTAGCCATCAAGACGCTGAAGGCTGGCTACACAGAGAAGCAACGGGTGGACTTCCTCAGCGAGGCCAGCATCATGGGCCAGTTCAGCCACCACAACATCATCCGTCTGGAGGGCGTTGTCTCCAAATGTGAGGCTTGTCACCAGAGGTGGGGTGGGGGACCCTCAGGGGGCCTGACCCACAGGTGGAAAGGGGCCGCCCGCTAGGACCACCAAACGGGGGCCTCTATCCACAGGGGGCCTGTGCCTGTGCCCACGCCCCTTCCCGTGTCACTTCCCTCTCCTATGGCTTCCCCTTACACCTGTGCCCACCCCCCGCAGACAAGCCCATGATGATCATCGCTGAATACATGGAGAACGGGGCCCTGGACAAGTTCCTTCGGGTACGGATGCGGGCTGTGGCGGGCCGGGAGCTGCGGCGGTGGGCTTAGGGCACCCCGGTGGGCTTGGGGCCGGCTGGCAGCTGCGGCCTGTGCTCTGGCAGGAGAAGGACGGCGAGTTCAGCGTGCTGCAGCTGGTGGGCATGCTGCGGGGCATCGCGTCGGGCATGAAGTACCTGGCCAACATGAATTACGTCCACCGTGACCTGGCCGCCCGCAACATCCTCGTCAACAGCAACCTGGTCTGCAAGGTGTCCGACTTCGGCCTGTCCCGCGTGCTGGAGGACGACCCCGAGGCCACCTACACCACCAGTGTGAGTGCCAGAGCGGCTGTCACCACAGGGGGTGGGGAGCCTTTGCCCTGCTCTGGGGTCCTCAAACCTGCACACTGGGGACGTGGTCCTCAGGAGGCAAGAACACCTGTAGGGCACACGGAGGAGGGGCCCTGACTGTGATATCTGTCCTGGGGCTGGTCGGAAGGGACAGTGGTGACTGGGTCCGGGTCCCCTGCAGGGTGGCAAGATCCCCATCCGATGGACGGCCCCGGAGGCCATTTCCTACCGCAAGTTCACCTCAGCCAGCGACGTGTGGAGTTATGGCATCGTCATGTGGGAGGTGATGACATATGGTGAGCGGCCCTACTGGGAGCTGTCAAACCACGAGGTAAGCCCCTCCGCCCTGCCCAGAACTGCCCTGGACCTGAACTTAAACCCGTAACTCATTCCGGAACCCCAAGGGCTGGGCAGAGAAGAGTTTTGGGGGCTAATCTTCCTCTGATACAGGCCATTCATGGGTTTGTTCAGTGAGTGTTTATTGAGGGCCAGGCCTTGTGCTGGATTCCAGACCCAGTAGGAGGACAAGGAAACATGTGTGTGTGCGTGTGTGTGTCTGCGTGTGCATTCATGGGTGCATGCACCCATGGATGCATGCATGCGTGTGTGTGTGTGTGTACACATGCCCGGTGCCTCACCTGGCCTGGAGGTCTAGAAGGCATCCCAGAGGAGGTCACGTCTCTGCTGAAATAGCACAGTAAGGTAGCCAGGTGAAGACAAGGAGGGCACGAGTGCTCTTGCCAAAGGGGCAGGTTGTACAGACGTCCAGAGACTGGAGGGCGGCTGGCTGCAGGGCGCACAGCGCGGCTGCCACCTAGGGTGCCCTGTGAGGGAGCAGGGCTGGGAGACCCTTTCTCATTGGAGCTCTGGAGACAGCCCCTTAGCGCCCACCCTGTGTGCAGCTCTGAAAGTTGTGTGTTGGGCTCAAGAAAGGGGGCTATCCTGTCTGTTTCTAGGGCTCCCTTCCCCTCTATGCCACCTCCATGAACTGGGGCTCCCCAGGGGGCCTGCATGGGTTTGCGGGCTGTGAAGGCAACCCTGACCATCCAACCCTTTCTCCCCTCCCCAGGTGATGAAAGCCATCAACGATGGCTTCCGGCTGCCCACGCCCATGGACTGCCCCTCGGCCATCTACCAGCTCATGATGCAGTGCTGGCAGCAGGAACGTGCCCGCCGCCCCAAGTTCGCCGACATCGTCAGCATCCTCGACAAGCTCATCCGAGCTCCCGACTCCCTCAAGACCCTGGCTGACTTTGATCCCCGGTAAGTCCCATGCCTTTTACCCGTGGCAGCCCCCAGTTTTACTCCTGAGCCAGTTCAGTGTGGTGACCAGCCACAGCTAGTGGGCGAGGGGCTCAGATGTTATACGCGAGCTTTACTTAGACTGGCCAGCGGATGGCTCAGGTAACACTAACAGAAGCCATCAGCACATATGGTAAGGATGCCAGGCGCCGCGCACAGCATCTCCATGTTTTAACTCATTTAAACAACCTACAGATGCGTCCTACAATTACCCCCCTTTTGTAGATAAGGAACTGAGACAGGGCTAGCAGGTGGCCAGGCTGCAACTGTGACTGTAGAAACCTGAATCTCTCCCTTAACGTTTTGCTGTTTCGTGGTTATTGGTGGTGGCGTGGTCAGGAGGGGTAGAGGGGCAGCAGGAGCTATAAACACTGAGTGCTTTCGACGTGCCGTGCTGTCCCCCTGCACCTACCTGACTTTACTTTCCTGTTGCCCAGATGAGGAAACTGAGGCACGGGCGGCTTGGGTGAATTGCCCGGGTTAGGGAGCCGTAGGCTCAGGCTCAGGCTCAGGCTCAGGGAGGGCTGGGTGCTGCAGCCCCTCACCTGCGGGCGGGTGGTTCCTGTTGCAGGGTGTCCATCCGGCTGCCCAGCACCAGCGGCTCAGAGGGGGTGCCCTTCCGCACGGTGTCCGAGTGGCTGGAGTCCATCAAGATGCAGCAATACACAGAGCACTTCCTGGCGGCCGGCTACACTGCCATCGAGAAGGTGGTGCAGATGACCAACGAGTGAGTCAGGCCGCGCCCATGCCGCCCGCCTGCCCCACCCCCCGCCTCCAACACCCACCTGCTTTTCTTTCCACCTCCCCTCTCTTCTCTTTCTCTCTCCTTCTCTTCTGGGGAGAGAGGCTTCACAGGAAGAGCAGAACCAGGCCAGCAGCCAGCAATTCTGCCTGGCTGTCTCCTTTTTGGCATGTTTTTTCCAGAGTGGGGAAGTAATGGTAACTCATAATAACAGTAGCGTTTATCGAGGGTTGACGGTGTGCAGGCTCTGTGCGCGAGCACTTTGCATCAGACCTCATGATAACTGGGCAGGTGTGTCCTGTCAGCCTTCTCCCTGGACAGGTGAGAAGTGGGTGCAGAGAAGGGCAGTGACCTTCCCAGAGTTCTACGGCCACTAGGGGCAGAGTAGGATTCCAGCCCCGGTCAGTCAGGGCCCAGAGCTCAGGGATCGTGGAGGTCATTAGTGGAGAAACTGAGGCTGAGAGAGGTTACGTGGCCCGCTTCAGGCCATACAGTTCATCGCCAGGAATCTGGGAAAAGAAAGGCTTCCATTCACAGCTATCGCCAATTGAGGTCCCTGTTTGCCTTTTGAATAGATGTTGTTATTTTCTTCCTTATTTTACAAGTACGGAAACTGAGGCTGAGAGATTACATAGCTTGCCTGAGGCCACACAGCCAGTTAGGGGCAGCATTCCTTCCAGGATGCCGAGAAGAAATGGCCAGTGCCTTTGGACATCCTGGCTGATGCCCAGGAGAGAGGGCCCTGGGCCAAACCCTCCTGGGCACCTCTCCCTCCATAGCTGACTGTCAGCCCTGAGGTCCAGCCTGGCGAGAAGTACCAGTTACCCCTTGCCCAGCCCTGGGGTCTGGCGTCTGCCAGGCCGGCCTTCGGGAGCTCTTCTTTCCTCCCAGCTCCAGCATCAAGGACCTTTCCCGACATGGCCTTGGCACAGACACCTCCTCCCACCCCAGGGAGAAAACATTATCCTCTTAGCCTTTTGTGCCTCTAAAAATAGCATTACATCCCAATAGCTTCACTTGTACAGGGTCCAAGGTCATGGTGGGAATGGACCCCGGGCTTGGGAGGTTTTGGGAACCACATAGAAGGGATGACCCTGGCCTCCGACGGTTCGGGGTCACAGAAGTTCTGGGATTTGGGCCTGTTCATGAACATTCTCCAGGGCCTCTGACAACTGCTCAGCTGGGCTTCCAACCTACTAATCAAGGCCTCTCAGATCGGGCCATGGCCCGTCCCAGGGGACAGCTGGGATGGGAGTCAGGCGGGGACAGAGCTGACCAGAGGGAGGTATGGAGACGCGGAGAGGGCAGACGGGTCCCGGGATATCTTTTGTTGCCAGCCAGCTGCAGGGTCCGAGCTTGGGCTCTGCAGCTACACCTGGGTTTAAGTCCCACATTTGCCACTTCCTAGCAGGTGGCCTTGGTCAGATTAAGTTCCATCGTTGAGTCTTGGTTTCCAGTTCCCCACTGCGGATCTCAAAGGGTACAGAACAGACAACATGCCTGGTACACAGCAAGGGCTCCATCCTCTATTCCCTCGCTTTCTGTCCGTGGCCTGTGGGCAAACGCCAGGGTTCCTGGGCTCCCTTCTTTTCCCTGGAAACCTGGAACCCCTTTGCCCCTCCAAGGGCTCCCACTGAGGACAGTAGCTTCTCTTCTTGCTAAGCAGAGCTGAGGGCAAGGAGAAGCGCTTACAGGAAACACATGTTCTCAAAGCCTTCCCGAAATAGCCCGGGGTGCTCCTCGGCCAATTCCTTTCCCACGAGCAAGGACGGGGCTGTCTTGGATTGATGGAGGTTGTGTGTGTGTGTGCGTGTGTGTTGTGTTTTGAAAAGCCCTGGATAAAGGCAGGAAGTCCTTCCCCACTCCCTCCTCCTCCCACCAACCTGTTGGTGCTCAGGGCCAGAGCTGGTGTGACTCACACCACCCTGGCCTCCTTCTTTATTTCAAATGAATGAGATCAATGGGGATCTCAAAGCACTTTTTCAGCCGGAGGGCGGTGTCTGCACATGCCATGGATCCCAGTGGGAGCTCTGGGCTGGTCTCGGGAGAATTTAGCCCTTTCGGGATGGTGTTGGGGTTCAGGCCTCAAGGTCCTCTCCCCCAAACTTGGCCTTCCTGCTTCCTTGACCCACCCCCAAGGGGCTGGCTGCACGTTCCCCGATGGTCCCACAGTGGCCACCTTGTCCTAGCTCGAGCATTCACTACATTGTCATTTTAGAGTCACTGGGTTTCTAGCTAGACTAGAGGTTCTAAATGGTTTTGACGAGCTAACGAAAATGGTGGACGTTTCACCCCAGAAAAATGTTCAGCCCAATGAAAGGCCCTATATCCAGCGTCCGAGGCTGCGGCATACAGCGTCCTAGGAGGGGGCAAGGGACACAGGTTGACGGGTCTGACGGTCTCCTCAGCCCAGGCTTGGCGCAGATGGAAGGTTTGCTGACTGAATGAATGATCGGACATGTGAGGCCATTTCTCACTTCCCTTTCCTTGTTCCCAGAGCAGCGCACAGTAGGTACCCCCTGGGGAGGTATGGCCTTTGAATTTCCCAGGGCCAGGGAAAAGTTTGCGAGCACTTGGGAAAAAGGTGGCCTCGGCCATGCATCTCCTCACCCCTGTGATGGGAGCTGATGGGCGAGACTGCTCTGGGGCTGGTGTGTCTCGGGTTAGGAAATGAGGCAGGGAGGGTTTGGGGGGCTTCGCGGTGAAAGAGAAGAGGCCTGGGCAGGCGGCTCAGCAGCATCTGAACAAAGCCTCCCATTTTACATCTAAAGCAGCTAAGGCCCCGAGACAGGACAGGACCTTCCCAGGGCTTCGGTGGAGTCCGGGACTAGAATTCAGCCTCCTGCCTCCCAGCCGAGGGCTTTTTCCTCCTTTCTACCTCAGCTCCCACCCTGTCAGATGAACTTCGCTGGTCTCGGAGATGGCCCAGAGGCGGCTTGGGCAATGGCTCAGTGCCTACTGAAGTATTCATTCATCATTCATTCATTCAGCAGACACTCCTTGAGGACGTGCTGGGTACCAGGCCTATCCTTGACCCCAGGAGGGGAGGAGGTGACGGGATGGGCCCAGGGGACCAGGTCTCAGCCACTGCCCTCCTATAGCTCACATAACCCACTGGTTCTTAAACCTGATAAAATGCGGACTCCTCCCATCTTCAGAATTTCAAGGTCAGGGAGTTTGGAGGTGGGCCCAGGATCCTGTCTTCTCAGTAAGCGTCGCCTTCCCTGGGAGCCACACTGTGACTGACGGCAGTGGGGAAAGCTCTGCTTTTCCAACCCCCCGAATGGATAGGTTAGAAATGGTGCCGTAGCGGATGGTGAGGAAGGTCTCCCAGATGTCTGCCTCCTGGCCTTTCTGCTGCAGTGGGAGCCACCAGCCCGTCCTGGAGGTCTCTGAGCCACCCTCCCCACCCACCTGGGTCTGCCCTCCCTGCTCAGCACTTCTCCGAGGGCTCCCAGAGCCTGTGGGAAAGTCATGTCTCCGGAATTGCAAATAGGAGCTTGCACCATATAATTAGCTCCATTTACAGCCAGGAGACGGCCCATAAAAACCTGAGTGTTTTCATGGGTTTGGGCTGGTGGGTGAGGACGAAGGAGGAGAAAACTCCCAGAGTGAGCAATAACCGTCATGCTCCAGGGCTCCGGGAGCAGTAAGTGGTTTTACAAGGGGATGGAGAGGCATGGAAAGGGGGGCAAAGGGGCCGTGGGCTCCTGGGCACATCGTTCTAGTCCTGATGCTGCCTTCCCCCGCTAGTACTGATGCTGCCTCCCGTTTCCGTGGTCTCCCACCCTTCAGATGGGCACTATTATCCCATTTTACAGGTGAGGAAATCGAGGTTCTTAAAGAGAAAGCACCTGCCTCAGGTGACTTGCAAGCGCCTCCCATTAGAGACCAGCAGAGCTTTGACCCTCGATGGTCCCTCAGCTCCTCAGCTCCCACCCTCAGATGGACTTTACTGAGCTTTGACCCTCGATGGTCCCTCAGCGAGTATTTCCCGCATCTTTCCTCAGTCAGCAGCAGTGGAAACTTGGAGGGGGTAGGGGTGAAATAAGGTGATGACTGGGAAGAGAACTTGGATGAAGGGCTTTGAGCAACACTCTTACAGGGAGGGTCCCTGCCCTTGCTAATGGCATCAGTGCTGCATAAGGGACATTCGGGACAGACCCCGAGGTAAGGGAGAGAATGCAGTGTTCACAACCGGTTTGATTCCCAGCTCTCCTACCTCCTGGCTGCGTGACTTTGGTCAAGTCATTTTACCTCTCTGAGCCTCAGTTTTCCAGGCTGTGAAGTGAGAGTGGAGAGAGAGCTCACTTCCCAGAAAGTCCTGCAGATGCGATCTGGGGGGGCGGGGGAGCTGCTCACAGAGTCGGTGCTTCTTTCATTTTCTTTGGCAAAGTTAGCAAGCTCGCGGGGCGCGGATCCTCCTATCAGGCCTCCACCTAGAGCTCTCTTGCCTCCCCAGGTCCCCAAGGCCCGCTCCCAGTTCTCTCCCCCCCACCTTCGCCTCCCTCCCACAGTTGCCCACCTCTCCCATGCCAGCCTCTAACTCTCCTTGTCTCCCTCCCACCCACAGTGACATCAAGAGGATAGGGGTGCGGCTGCCTGGCCACCAGAAGCGCATCGCCTATAGCCTGCTGGGACTCAAGGACCAGGTGAACACAGTGGGGATCCCCATCTGAGCCCCGCTTGGCCAAGAATACTTGAAAAACACAGAGTGCCCTGCCTGCCAACTCTGCGCCTGGTCACCAGGGACCTTATTTATTTTTAATTATTCCGTATTGATGCCAGCCTGAGGCCTCTGCTTGGGGAGTCTTGGATGACGCCTTGGCCTGAACTGAGATACTCAGGGACCCTGGGCTGGGGGGCGGGGGCCTCTGTGCCTACGAAGGACAGCCAGCTAAGCACTTAGCAGGTGTCATCGTGTTCCCAGCATCACCTGGGGCAGAGGCCCCACCAAGGCCTTTGGATATACAGGCGGGATTTCCAAGCCGGCCTCCCTTTCGCTCTTTCGGGAGGTCAGGGGGTTACCCCAGGGCCACGGGAACAGGGTACCTCAAGCCCTGCTCACTCACAAGAAGAAGACAGACAGCAAATTCAGCTGGAGAGACCCAAAGTGGTTCCCCCGACCCCGACCCTTTAGTGCCTTGACCCCCAGGCCCTGTCCTCAGCCTCAGTGGGCCAAACCCTTGCTTCCCCAGAGCCCTCGCAGGATGCTTGGTTGTGTTGAGGTTTTTTTAAAATATATATTTTGTACTTTGTGGAGAGAATGTGTGTGTGGCAGGGGCCCAGCCAGGGCTCAGGGCAGAGGGCGGCCTGTGTCATACATTCCCAGCCTGGGGGCCGGTGCTTCCACCTCTCCCTCCTCTAGACAATATTCATTATTCCGTCAGTGTTAACGGTTTTGTTTTGTTGGCTATTTTTTTTGAACCTTAATTTATTATTATTTTTTTTATATTTATTGTTAGGAAATGACTTATTTCTGCTCTTAAATAAAGTTGCAGATGGTTCAAACGAATCTTGGTTTTGCGTCTTTGGAGGGGCAGCGGGGTAAAAAAGCCTTCTGCGTTGGAAGTGGGGGGTGAAAGGCTCGCTGCCACCCTGGGTGTTTAAACAGAGCTGCTTTCGCAAGGCACGTATGTCATGTAACCCTGGGAGTGGGGGTGGGTGGGCGGTGGGCAGGGGGCCAGGGAGTAGGCCCAGCCAAGCCCGGCCTCTATGCCAACAGGCTTTTGTCACCTTTGATCTCGAGGCTTCTGGAGAGTGGAGAGAGATGCCTCCCTCCCACGCACCTCCGCAGAGCTGTTGAAATAAGATCCTTCAACCGTCCGTCCGTGTTGGGCTCTGAGGTTTAGAAAAGCTCTTCGCAGGTTTTGGCTTGTTAGAGCCTCAGCATTCTGAGTTTTTGTGGGTGGCCCCATTTTAGAGAAGAGGAAAACTGAGGCTGGCTGCGTCCAGCGACAGGGCCTGCCCACGGCCACACTGCATATCGGAGGCAGAGGCAAGAATTAAAAGTAGGGCCAAGAATCCCAATTAGATGCTTTCCTCACCGATGAGGAGACTAAGCCTCAGAGATGTGCAGGGACTTGCCTTAAGTCACACAGCAGGAAGGAACAGAGGCCTTGAGGGAAGCCAGAGTCCCAATTTCAAACCCTGAGCCTTCTCCACTACACCAGGTTTCTGCCCTGGGTGCCAGAGGTCATTCACTCCTTAGGAAGATATGGCACACAGGTGACCAGGGACTGGACCAGCTGAGCAGAGATGAGCCGGAGCCCAGGGGGAAGGCTTCCTGGAGGAGGTGACCCAAGAGCTGAGATCTCAGGGATAACTAGGGATTAACCAGTGAAGCAGTGGGAGAGGGTGATGCAGGCAGAGTAAATTGTGAAGGCATGAAACCATGTGGTTGTGCAGGGGGGAACCACAAGCAAATTGGTATTATTTGGGCAGGACACGGGGTGCCGAAGAGTCCTCCAGGGCCTCGTAAGGCAAATTCTGGAGTGGGGCTTTTAAGCTGAGGGCAATGGGAAAGCAGCAAAGATTTTAAGCAGGGTGAGGCATGATTACCACGTCCCAGACAGAAGTCACTGGTAGAGGCAAGCCTGAGCTCCAGGCCCTCTGACTCCCAGCCTGGAGCTATGGGGAGAAAGAGAAGACATTCCGGCCGTCAGAAGGACACTCGGCTTGCCTTGGGGCCTCAAGGCTGGCCTGAGACTCTGCCCTGACCCCTTGCTACTGCAAGAGAGCTACTCCAGTGCACAGCAGATGGGGAGCCAGCTCTTGGTCCTGGCCCACTGAGCATCAATGAGTCGTGCAGCATAGGGTGGGGCTGGGACTGGGAAAGGTAAGGGAGTACAGAGACCAGCTCGCCAGGCTTTGCTCCCGTTAGCGCTGGGCCACCTAGGCGTGCTGGGCATGTGGCTGAGTCAAGCCTTCATGGGACCTGACCTTTTCCTGGCCTGCCCTGGGTGGGACCATGGCTATTACTGAACTATGGCTACTGCCACCACCATTGACAGAGCTGTCAGTCCAGTAGGGAGCAAGCCTGAATCCTCTAGCAATCTGGGCTGCAAGGCACCTGAGGCCAGGCCTGAGTCCCATTCCCAAAGCAACTCAGCCACCGAAGGCCCCACCAAAGGGCAGGAGTAGACACAGGAAGTGGCTCAGCACGGAGGGTGGTGACCTCATATGCTCTCTCTCTCTCGGAGCCCCAGTAGACACAAGGCCTGCTGAAGGCATATGAGATTGCTTAGGCCTGTGGGCTGCAGACAGGGTTCTGTTCAAAGGCCAGCGGGAAGATGTCTGGAGCCTCCATCAGACCCCACAACTGGCGAGAGGGGAAACTTAATTTTTAAAATTAAAGCAAACGCAGCTCTGCGCCCCAGAGGGCCTGGAAGCAGACACCCCAGTAGCAATAAACGCATCCAGTCCCCAGATCTTGGTTCCTAAATACCACTCTCTAATTAAAAGCAACCAGGGCTTCTTAAGAGAAATGACTGATTCCAGGGCTGAAGAAGGAAAACCAAGATGAATCTGGAGCATCTTGTCGTACTAGGGAGAAAGGAATTGCTCGAAAAAGTAACAGATTGGGGGTCTGGAGGAGAATGTCAGACATAGGAGCCAACTTGAACAAAATCCTAAACGGCCAAACCTAGACCGTGTTGAATGACAAATAACAGAATAAGATTATAACCCGAAGTAGAAAATAAACATCCATGAATCCATACCGATATGAAGAATGATTGAAGAAATAAATAAATGGGGAGACTAGGCGAACCTTTCTTACAACAGAATTCCAAATAATTCACGTAGGCTTCCCCGCTCCAGATGGGGAGGCTTATTTCCCTACCGCTTTGCATGTAGACAGGACCTAGTGACCCCTTTCAAAGAAAGGAAGTGTAGAAAGGGTTAATTTTTTTTTTTTTTTACATTGGAGAAACCTGGCAAACATCACAGTAACCAAGTTAACATCATCAGTGAAAAAAACCAAACAAACAAATCCAGAGCAGCAGGACTATGTTGCTTAAATTTAAGATCAGGTATCGACAAACACTTGTACGGGACTTACTGGGTGCCACCCACCCGCTGCTCTAAGTACTTTGCCCGTGTTTACTTTCTTAATCCTTCCAACGCCCCTTCGAGGTGGGTGCCATTATTACCATTTTACGGATTTGAACACTGAGGCACCCAGAGGTTAAGTAATTTGCCAGAGCCACCTGACCTGTGCATGTCAGGGGCAGGAGTCCAGCCCAGGCGGTCACAGAGCCCCTGAGAAAATGGTCTTCCACTTGCCTCTATCGACTGCCAAGACAGGGCATTCTCCCCAGTCTACTAGGTGGACACCTCCCTCGATACGGGCTGAGAAACACTGGTTCTGGGGAAACTGAGGCCATGTAACCTGCCCTATGTCCCCAAATGCCACAGTGCCCCACGCCCCGGCACCCAGATTGGGGACGGGAGAGTGGAGGATGGAGGCAGGTTGGCCGCTTTGCTCCTTCCCACGGAGCGTGTCTCTGCTCTGTGCCAGGTGGGTCACTGGGGCCGCAGAGATGAGGGAGTCTCTTCTCTGCCCTCATGGAGTTCTCAGGCAAGAGGGGGTGGCAGTGGCAATACAGTAGGACCCAGCTAAGAGGGGGAGGAGCCAGAGGGGCACACCTGACCCAACCTGAGAGGTTCAGGCGGGCTTCCTGGAGGAGGAAGAGCCATTCAAGCTGAAGCCAGTGTTTAGTGGAAGTCCACCAGGTGAAGGAGAGAGAAGTGTCCCCAGCAGAACAGGTCCCCACCCTCCAGACTCCAGACCTCTGGATGGTGCTGGAGTTTTCCCATTTGTCTAGGAGAAGCCCGGCTCCAGCTCTAATGCCATCGCAGCCCCCCAAGCTGTCATGCCATGAGAAGCCCTAGGATGCCAGCCCTGCTCTCATTCCCTGCCCGAGCAGGACCTTCATTTCCAGCCTCTGCTGGGAAGTGAGCCTGCAGCCCACAGCCTCCCCTGGGCTCTGAGCTGGGGGGCGCGCCTTGGAAGTCCTTTGATGCAACCAAGCCCTGAGGGAGGCTAAGGCAGCAATTACAAAAGTGCCTGGTCGGGAGACACCCTCTTTCTGCACTGCTCCCAGCCTGGGTGGCAAGTTAAAACAGTATTACCAGGCACCAGCCTTGGATTTCCTAATTAATTAGCAAATCCTAAAGGAATAGGCAAGCTCTCTGCCCCTCCTTCCCCTGCTCCCCTCCCAGCTGTGGCCCAGGGCCTAGCACGGGGCCTGCCGCACAGTGATGCTGCCGGAGGAGAGGCAGAATGAACGCGAGCGTCCGTCCAGTGCGTGGGTTCTCAGGCCGGGCGCTCTGTGCCTCCGCCCATGCTGTGCTTTATGTCTCCATTACCCTCTCCCCAGAACAGTGTCTGGCACCCAGTAGGCCCTCGTAAATATTTGCTTAATAAACGAATGAGGGGGACAGTAGCCAAGCTTTTGGAACCCGAGGGCCCAGTGAGTCTATATGGAGCCACGTTCGGCATCCCAAGATGCAGATAGTCTGGGGGTACATGTTGCATGGACCCCCGGCCCTCGCCGGCTGGCTGGGACCTCACAGGCAGGGAGGGAAAAGGGAGCCGGCGTTTCTGAACACCTACTATGTGCCAGCCAATGTGCCAGGACTGACACCTACATCGTCTTATTGAAGGACTGCAATGACCCTGCAAGGCATGGATCTA